CATTTACTGCTTGGTCGTCGATCCTTCGATCTCTCCACTACCACTCAAGCTCCAGTCATTGGTGACTACAAGCAAACAAAGGGATCTCCGGATCACGAACAACAAAGGCCCCAAGGACAACACACCAAGGCACCCCAACACGGCCCGGATCGAGATCCGGCCACCGGCGATCTGCACTCGAATATCCGTGCAGACCCCGGATCCCCACTACCGACAGCAGAGCGAAGACTTCCGCGCTGCTGATCAAATCCCTGCGTCCTGCCAAGACGCCCGATCTTCATTCACTTGGACATTCTCCTGCAGTTACCGGAGGAGAAGATCCAGCCCTACCGACGGGTACACAAGGTGAGGAAGTTCAGCTTGATCACGGATCATAGGAGTACCCCCTCCTTTAGTCGGTGTCCTGAGCACAGTGGTTAGTCAGATCCAGCATCTTCGCAGATTTTGCTGATCCCGCTCCACCACAACTGCACCACAATCGCTTCCTGTCTGTAGTCGTTGCTGCCGAACAGGATCACTGCAGACACTTCTTCTTATTCTCCACTCGCCGCAGATCTCCACTTTCGTCATTATGTCCAACAACCCAAACCCCAGTGGATCCTTGAGCGGCGGATCGCCAGGATCCGCCTTCGATCCCCACACCACGCGCGAGGAGTTCCCCCGCTACGCCACGCGCCTCTTTTGTCGTGAGGGTGATCTCACGGCAGCTCTGGCATTCCAGACCTTGACCCGCGGCTCGGATCCGCCATCAGTGGAGCACCAGGATCGACTGAACGATCTTCGAGACTACATTCACGAGCAAGACCGAGCGATCTTTTTGATGCAGCAGTCGATCAACGGTCTTCGAGCGAATCGAGATGCGCTACAAGCTGAACTTGACTCCAACGCCCAAGTAGTTCATGATCCGCAGCCGTCCGCCGCCCACCTTCACACCTTCGAAAGGCGAGTCGCAGATCTGGAGTCGCAAGTCACTCGGCTACTACAGGAACGAGAACACGCCGGTGCGGAGATCCTGGATCTGCAGGAGCAACGCAATTCAGCCGACCGCGCCCATGATCAAGCCACCGACCAATTACAAGTTACTGAAGGAGTGCTTCGCCACACGTGTCAGGCCCTAGATCGGGCCGAAGCAGACCTGCTGGTCGCACAACAAGTCGCGGCCATAGTCTTGCCAGATCCGTCGTCATCGGATCTACAAGCCAAGCTGGATCGGCAGATAGCAGAGCGTGTAGCGCTCCAGGATCGATTCGATCAAGTCTCGGCTGAGCGCGATACATTGAATGTGAAAGTCCAGATTATGGATCGGGAGGCGGATGCACTTCGGGGTCAGATCCAAGAGCTAACTATGGAGTTCAAATGGGCGAAATCACGCTGTGAGGTCATGCGCGTCAATCTTTCTGGCGCGGTCAAGCGCGAGAAGGGATATCGGGACGCGGATCTGAGTACGGCTCCTTTTCCTTGATCTAGATCACACCATCTCGCTAATATAGCATCCTTTTCTTTATTGCAGAGCATGATGTCACTCCGACGCAGAGCGATCGATCACGGAACAAAAGGCCCAGATCTTGACGTTAAATCATCGACTGGCCCATCTTGATCGAGAGCGCACGGATCTGAGGCGCGAACTACGGAAAGTGCTAGAGATGTTGTCCACAGTGGCTGCTGGGATGGGATCAAGCCCTCCCACTACCAAACTCTGCCTCGATAGTCCTCCCACAGATCAAGAGCAGTCGGATCAAGGGAAGCAGGATTAAGAGAGCCTGGATCAAGACAGACAGAGCCCGGAAAATGGAGATCAGGGTATGTCAGATCAAGACAAACCAAGCCAGGAGAGCTCAGATCAAGACAAACAGAGCCCGGAAAATGGAGATCAGGGTATATCGGATCCAGACAAACCAAACCAAGAGAGCTGAGACCAAGACATGTCGGATCAAGGCAACTCGGAACTCGAAAAGTCTGATCAAGATCGACCCGAACAAGATCCCGACTACACACCCACGCCCAACGGGTCTGATGGACCTTCCTCCACCGGCAAGCATCAAGATCTTCCTCCCAGTAAGAGATCTCGTGATCCCTCTCCTTCTCGCGACGCAGATCGCCCTTCAAAGAGAAAGGTTCCGGTGACTGAGGATCACAAGAAGGATCTAGATCGCGAGGATGACCAAGACGAATACGACATGGGCGGAGGCTTGGACGTCGAAGAACCATCGGATCCAGATTACGCTTCACTTGACGAGCTGTTGGAGAAGGATCGCGGGGCTGCTAGTCTTGTTCCGACCCCCGAGCCGCGCTACTTATATTACGAGAAGGGTGGATCCAAGAAGCCTGACGTCCCAGCAAGCTCGAATCCCGCCTCTAAGCCCAAGTCCAAGTCTAAACCTCGGTCGACTGGTGATCCTAAGCCTTCCAAGGACGCCGATCTGGAAGAAGAAGATCAAGAATCCGAAGCCGACACCTCGGCCGACGGCGATGACGACGACACTCTGAACGACATGTTGCAGGCTCAGACGCTCATGGCTCTTTCTCGATCGAGATCTGAGCAGAGGCGCCGCGATCATGCTGCTCCTCATCGTACCGGGGCTGGAGGAGCGGGAGATCCTGGATCTGGTGGTGATTCTGATGACGAATGCTCGAGTGGCAGTAGTGGTGGCGGAGGTGGCGGATCTTCTGTGGATCCGGCTGGGATGCCTCTTGTTTCGACGATGCTTCCGCGACGCCATTTTGCTCCTGATCACGTGTGCATCCCTGGCCGCCAACAGACTCGCCAGTACAATATAGCCGACGTGGATCCATGGGTGATCCAAAGGATCAATACCCTGACGATCATGACCATGACCCTAGAAGTGTTGTCGCGGGCGTTGCCGTTTCGTCCTGAGTGGATCTTCCCCTGTCACGTGCCTCGAGCGACTACTCCGATACCAGATCAATACTGCAGCCACTTGATCACGGGTCAGAACGCTCGCGACCTCATGGCCGGTCTTCCCTGGAATGTACTTATTGGTGCAAACATTCCTGAACCCATGCCGTTCGAGATCACAGTCGACGGTCACTTGGGATTTCTGATCGAGAGATATTCGGCCGTCGAGTTTCAGGATCTGATCGCCTACTGGGAATCGACACATCGTTTTACAGTCTCGCCTGCGTTGATCCGCAGCGACCCATACCTGGCGCTCTTCGTTGCAGAGAGGAAGAACTGTCGATCACATGCTGGCGCTAGGTGGAAGCAGATCCTGCAACAATTCTTGATCGCCATGCGCGAGGGCCGGTGTGATCTGGATCTGCTGCTGGATCCTTATTTTCTTCATTTTCCCAAGCGCACGGACGAGGTGGCTTGGTACCCCGGGATCGAGGCTCGCAGTGCTAACCTCGCAGATCCGCAACTGCATCGTCGTGAGCCTGCTGAACTGATCCAGGCTCTTGCTGAGCGTGACGCCACAGATCCGTGGCGTACCCACTACCGACTGCACCATGCGGGCCATCCCGCTCGCCGGATCGCACGTCTCGCCGGTAAATTTTTCAGCATGGCAGCTCTGAATCCCAACGCGGCGCCACTTCCTCCTCCGTCATGATCCTGACACTTCTCCTTACGTTCTTTTCAGATCATCTTCGTTAATCGTAATACATGTCATTCTCTTTTCAGATCTGTGTTTGCCAGTATCCTTCGTTTCCACTAAGTCTTTGGCCAGTCCGCATAGGTTTCCACTATAATACCTCCACGCCTGTCGTTCGCCCTTTGATCCACAATCTCTCAGATAATACAGCCCTAGATCCACAATCGAAATTCGTTCCCGCTCACTCCATGTCCATCTCAGAATCAATCTCTTTCCACTTCGATCCTCTATCAACATGTCATCATATACAAAATCACGTAAACCCTGTCCTCCGATCTGCAACCTCCTTGCAGATCCATCAACTTTCAGCCACACTAGTGACCAACTCCCCAGTGTGGATCCCCTGCTCACAGCTCCTCGTGAGATTGCATCACACCGAAACGGTTGCGACTAGCACGATCTCGCAAGAATTCATACAGAAGAGCACCGCAGTTGAGATCTGCCTCATCTACCCAGGTTGGATCTTCATATCCACGCCAGTGTACCAGGAATTCTCGGTAGATCCGGCCATATCTAGTCCTTTTGCCAGTCCTCATATTGGAAGTTCGCTCCACTTCGTATTCATCTGGATCCTGATCTTGGATCCAGCTGTCTTCAGGTAGGAGAGCTTCATCGAAGTCCGCCCGATCTCCCTCTGACTCATTTAGACGAGCTACTGGTCGATCTGGGAATACTTTGACCAGTTTGATCTTTGATACATGTATCACCGGAAAAATGCTGTATGTGGATTCTGCTATCTCCAACCGCACAGCATGCTCTCCGATCTTCTCGGCAACGCGGAAAGGGCCATGCCATAGGTGTGCCAGTTTTTTTCGCATACCCTTCACGCACCCGATCTAGGTATAGCCAGACCCTTGATCCAGACTCTACAGGGTGCGGTCGTGCTAGATCATTATGCATATCGGCCCGATCCGCGATCGCTTCTCGTAGGTGCTGGTTCACCTGTTCCCTGGCCTGATGATAATATTTCTGCATCCGATATCGCCACCTTCTGGGATCTCGTACGTACTTGCGAGTGCTTCCCACCGGATCACGGCTTCCAGAGTGGATCTGGGATCCCAGCCATGTATCATATAGAAAGGTGTTTCGCCTCGGATCCGATCCCTTGCGGTATTGATGGCGAAGGTGAGTCGCTCAGCATACTCATCCCAATCTCGTTGATCCAGACCTTCCACATACATTTTGATAGCCCTGGTAGTTGTCTGGACCATACGTTCCGCAGATCCATTGGCTTGGGTCTATACGCCATAGTGGCCCGTTGGCGTTGTCCCAGGATTCTGTTAAACGACTTGAAGAAATCAGACATAAAGCCTGGCTCCCGATCATGTCGGATCACCTCGCTCCCGCCAAATCGTCGAAAGATACATTCTTCGCAAGTCTCGGCGATTGTTTGAGCGGATCTGGAGGCACTAGCTTTGGCGATCACGTATCCCGAGAATAGATCCACGAAGTTCAGCAATTCGGTGTTGCCGTTGAAGGATCTAGGCAATGAAAGTATGTGATCCATGGCAATGATCTGGAATGGGTATGTTGCCTGAAGGTTACCGGATGACTCGCCCTTGTTCCGGGGTCGTCCTTTGCCTGTTTCACAATCGACACATTCCCCTACATATCGTTGTACACGCCGATACAGACCCCTCCAGTGGAAGTGATCACGGATCCGATCATAGGTACGGCCGATCCCTTGGTGACCGCCCTGTAGACTCGTGTGATAGTGACGTAGAATGTCCTGTTGAAGCGTCTCAGGTACCACCAGTCGCATCAACGTATCTCGATCTGCAGCGGTCTCCTTAGTTGTCGGGCAATAGAAGAGTAGATCCAACTGATCCACTTCGTAATTGATGGCGATGGATCCAAACATCTTAGCCTCTTCATGTGTCAGATCCCGGATCTCCCCAACCAAATACGTCTTCAAACCACTCCTCGTCCTGCGCTTGCCGGATCCGCTCGACCCGTAGCTCTCTCACGACTTCCTCTCGTAGGGAGTCTGGATCAGATCCAATACGCACTCCCGATCTAGCCTTAAATCGGGTCGTCACTGCTGATACCCGTGCGACCTCGTCTTCGACTTTCACTATCAGGATCTCATCCAATCGATTTAAAGTTATGAGATCCTGGATCTCCGTGTCAGACTCTACCTCGATCCCACATTGTCGCTGCACCGCAGCGCTTGCTAAGCTATCAGCACTCCCGTTCCAATCTCGCTTGGCATGTAACAGCTCATGATCTGGCCAAGTACGTAGTCGATCCAAAGCCCGCTGGCGTAACAGTGTCAGACCCGGTGCCTTACAATCGATCTCCCCTCATCCTTGTCGGATCACCAGGTGTGAGTCTCCGCAGATCACCAGACGTCGTGTATCCAGATCTTCTAACAGATCCAAACATAGCAACAACCCATGATATTCCGCCTCATTCACCGTCAAGCCTTCGGCGTACCCAGATCTAGCCTTCAGTTCCATTCGGGCAGCTTCCACAAGACCGCGCTGTAGGCGCCTCCGCCTCTCTTGACACGGGCCGATCCATCGAAACTGACGACGTATAGCTCCTCATCTCGTCTAATAGTGGGGATCGGAGCTTGGATCTTCCATCTTGGCTCCTTTTTAGGGGCATTTGATATCAATGCTTTATACACGTCTGATCTGGGGGTAATACTGGCCGCCAGTGCTCCTAAGATCTTGTCCTCTCCTTTGACACACTTGGTGATCTCAAGTGTCCAGGGCGACAACAGAGCAGCCAACTGTCCTACACGTCCTTCTAGGGCTGTGGATCTGAAGGGCCACGCCAGTGTTGAGTGTCGGGTCAACACGTGGATCGGGCGCCCGACCAACGCATCATAGATAAGATCCAGGACCCTCAGAAGGGCTAGTACCTCCTTCTCGGCGATGCCATAGTTAACTCATTCGACTTCAGTGTGCGGCTTGCAAACACCACGGGGTAGTCGATCTGGTCGTATTCCTGCATCAGTGATCCCGAAATGGCCCAATCGCTAGCATACACCACAACTGTAGCCTTCCGATCTGGGTCAAAGTGCCATAATATTGGGGTTGTAGCGATCCTGGTTTTAAGCACACTGAAGGACCGATGTGCATGGATCCAGCGCGGATCTACCTCAGTGAGATCCGGCGTCTCCAGATCCAGGGCCCTTCGGTGGTCGACACCCTGATCTTCCTGCGATCCTTGATCCACGTTCTCCACTTCCAGTACTTGTTGGATCCACGCTTGGGTAGCCTCCTTCATCATCGCAACAAAGTCGGTTTCTCGCAATTCGTACAGAACCGACGCGTTGATCGCGTAATAAATCGGCTATAATAGTTCAGACTCCCCAAAATGACTGCATAGCTCCGAGTGATCCTGGAAATGCTAAATCAGTCAATGCAGACAGATCTTTCGGATTCGCCTCCAGTCCATTGTGAGAAACC